AGGAACGTGGTTGAGAAACACTGCTTTATGCTATTTGTATTAAACTTACAAGATGATTATTATGTTGTCTGCTTTAAATAAGGTTTACAAGTGATTTAATATAGATAGAAACATTAAAAGCAAGCACCGACTTTAAATCAAATAACACGATAGCATGTCAGCAGTTTGTAGAATTATTGTTGACTGAAAATGATTTGATTCTTCCAATATGAAGGAGGTTTTAGAGGGTGTCACAGTCAAATATAAATCAGTAAGTATTATTTTTGCTAAAAATCTAACAAGGCTTATTCTAATGTATGAAATGATGTTAAGCTGTTTTACACTCACTTTGATGCTTGAAAACCAAACCCAAATCACCAGCTGCCCTCTTCTGGGCACACATGAAACAACACCCAATGCAATCTAAGATTACAGACAATAAAATTGGCCAGTCTCGAAGATGCAATGTCGGACACAATGCAGAATGAAGTGTGTGGAATGGTTGTTTGTGTACTGCTAATACTTTGCCATTTCGATTGGTTGCTTGTGCACTGTTAAGACGTTCTGATTGGCGGTTTGTGTAATGTGACTGGGGTAGTTCCCAAAGACATGATGCAGTTGATAGGGCGTTAATAGGGCATTCTGGTTAACACAAAGTATACCATCAAGACTAAATGATACTCCAAATTATGTCTATTACATTTATACCAGTTTTATTGAACGTCAAACGACTTATAAAACAGCTCTCCTCAATAAGACAGAGCATTCTGATTGATTGCGTCGCTGGTTGGAGGTGTTTCCAGTTACTCAGTTTTGCAATGGTGCCTCAAAAAGTGTTCTGGGTAGTTGTCAGGGTGTTGCTCAAGGTTATTGCTATGCATTTATGCAATTACTGGAGTATTGCTAGGCTGCTAAAGCAATGTCTGGGCATTCTGGGTAACTCAAAGTGTATTAGAAAATCAGTGTGATGCTATGGTGCCCTCAAGCCCGGTTTACACTAATACGATTTAGTTTTAAGACAGCATTTTAGAATGAAAATGACCCACGTCCACACTGGCGTTTCATCTAGCATTTCTGAAAAGACCTCCGTTTACACTACACCACTGAAAACACACATCAAGTGATCACACACACACACACACTCTGGCATGCACTGCAGTGTATGTGGAGGTCTGAGCTCCAAGCAGTCAGCGGGTGCTTTGAGCACATCTACCCACATGAGAGCTGTGCACGTCAGACTGTTCATCAAGGATTTACCGCTGGATCTAATCTCACTATATTTGTTAACTTGATATTCAATTCATCTTGTTGTATATCTAATGACATATTCCATGACTTTGGTCTTTTGAATCTATTACTTGTTCTCAGGTAACGTGTTTTGGCTGAGCATAAAGTTAAGTAAACATAATAATTAATGTAACCGCGTACACTGATTCTGCACAATTTACTGATTGCTTGCCTTTATTTCATATATTGTATAAACATATTGTACGTTATACTTTTATGATGGCCATTATTGATTAATAAAACTAATATTTAGCAAAATAGACAGAGTATGGTTTGTATATGTCACTGAAAATGAAAGGAAGCAGTAATGTTACAGGCTCCTTTATGTTATAAATGCATACAGTGATGATCATCTAAATATGTAGTCACACGACGCCTCAACATATTTGGCGTCTGTTAAGTTAATATCAAAATGAAAATAGACAGTTCCTAAACGTAGCCAGGGTGATGTGTATGAGGTTATAAAGTACACTGTTTCCTTTGCAGATTTACCCGACGTGTCCTCGGGAGTTTGTTTTTCATATCAAACTCGCAAAGTCTGAATCAGTGTTGCCAGATTTGGCTGACTTTTTCTAGCACAAAAGTTGTCCAAAACCCACCAAATGCACAAAAAAACCCACCCAAAAATATTAGATTAATATTTCATTTACTTCCCAGGGATGGGTTGCGGCTGGAAGGGCATCCGCTGCGTAAAAATGTGCTGGATAAGTTGGCGGTTCATTCAGCTGTGGCGACCCCGGTTTAATAAAGGGACTAAGCCGAAAGGAAAATGAATGATTAAATAATTTTCCATTTAATTTTAATTTATTCGTTTTCTTTTTGGCTTAGGGTGCTTTCACACCTACACTTTTGTTTCGGAACGTATCTCGTTTGCCCAGTTAGCGCGGTTCGATTGGCATATGTGAACAGGGCAATCGCGCTCTGTTCCGCGCCAAAGTAATCGCTCCGAGATCGCTTGAATGAGGTGGTCTCGGCTCGATTGAAACGATCCCTGGAGCGGTTCGATTGCAGTGAGAAAGCGATCCGATCCGAGCGCGGTTATATCACAGTGTTTTATGGATATGTAATAGGCTTACGGCTATATGAAGAGAGAATTATGAGTAGGGTGGGAAGTTTCGCGAGTCTCCGGATGCCCGCAAACGAGTGATGATCTCCCGGTAATCTCGCGTCTCCCTCCCGGTCCTCAAATAGGCATCATCGCGCACCCTTCTCACCCCTCCCCACTGCGTCTCTCCTCAGACACGTCGCGTGCGCACCCTGTCAATCAACACCAAACCACCACCTCTCCTGACAGCTGAGCGGGACGCTGCAAAATAAACCCTGACACTGACCAATGTAAGGAGAGTTTACTCGCGCGTGACTTGTTTTATCTCTTTTGGTCCGATTGGAAACTTTGCAATGTGAAAGCGAACCGCTCCAAGAGCAAAGAGCAACAATGTAACATTTGTAATCTCTGTTTCGGAACAACTGAATCGATTCACAGGTGTGAAAGCACCCTTAGTCCCTTTATTAATTTGACCTCACCACAGCGGAATGAACCGCCAACTCATCCAGCATACGAAATTAACGTAGTTACTTTAATTATAAATTAATTTAATTTATTTAATTTATATATTTTTTAAACCATTCAGCAACCATTATCAGTAGTCAAAGAATTACCGGATCACATCGAAACAATGCCCCCCTCTCAACCACACACTGCCCTTACCTATTAGAGTATGTTTTACTTTCGAAATGTGGTATAAATTCGTCACATTTGGCATTTTAAATTCTTTTGAATACAATAAGGTGCTGCTTGTCAATCATACAATGCTTCTGTGTTTGTTCTCGCTGTTAATTGCAGGAAAAGATTCTGGATAAAAGTGTCATGATAAACCGCTGTGAGTTTAACTGGAGGTGATGCAAGTGCCACGAAAAGGAGTCCGATTTGTCTGGGGAGTCAGATTTTGATGCAACTTTCCTTCACCTCACTGTTGTGTTTTGTTAAATAAATTGCATATAAAATTTACGTTTCAAAACCACCCATATTTTTTACCCACACAATCAAATTCAAAACAGCCCAATCTGGCAACACTGGTCTGAACTTACAAGGAAAAGATGCAAGACTGAACTTTGTGTAGGCTACTTAATATTGTGGAAAAAGCCTAAATCAGAGAGAAGAATGTCTGCAGCCCCGCCTCCGTTTTCAGATGTCTCTGTTTCCCCCCTATCCACACTAAAACCGTAGTCACACTAGAATTTGAGCGTGCGAAATTCTGTCGTACGGCACTGCAAAAAAGGGCGGGATAACACGATGATTAGACATTTAAAAAGCGAGCAATTGGTAAATTGGTCATGTTTTGATCCTCGATTGGTCTCACGCAATCATATGATGCACAGCGAACTGTGAAACGTCCAGTGTGACCGCAGCTTCACATGGAGCATCTGTGTTTTAAAATGAAAACGGCTTTTTCAGCGCTTGAAAACTCCGGGGTAGTGTGGATGAAAGGCGTAACAGTATCAAAACTTATGCAAACTTATTACGAAAACGTATTGGTGGAAACGGGGCCTTAGATTCTTCTTTATCTCCAGGGATGGACTGGCCATAGGGAGGACCGTGACATTTCCTGGTGGCCTGACAGTCCCGCACTTTTCATAAACATCGTTAGCCAATCAAATTGCTTTATGTAAATACACCAGCTTAGAAAGTAGCCGATTACGGACTAATTTCATTGGTTGACGCTGCCATGATGCGTCATGATCGCGTCAGCCCCAACTTAAGACACGCCCTCGGTCAAGCATTGACACTGAAGCCACGTGTGAATGCACAGTAAGGCTTTTTTCCCCTGATAGCTCAGTTTGGCCGGACGGCCAGCTCTTGGAAGGGTTCTGGTCGTCCCAAACATCTTCCATTTAAGGATTATGGAGGCCACTGTGCTTTTAGGAAGCTGAAGTGCAACAGAAATGTTTTTGTAACCTTGGCCAGATCTGTGCCTTACCCTGATTCTGTCTCTGAGCTCTTCTCTGAGTGTTTTAAAATAAAAATGACCTCTTCAGCGTTTCCAAAATGCTCGGTTTTTTGGTGCTTGAAAACTCTGGCGTAGTGTAAATGGAAGGGTTGTTGCTAGATCGGATATGGTTGCGGCTGGAAGTTAACAAGAATTACTTATATCATTTATTAAATTTCCCATTTATTGTATTTTATAAAAAAAAAAAAAAATAAAATAAATTGCCCCCAAAAGTCACAGTAATGTAAAAACAGTAGTTTGTACCGAGTATCATTTATGTTATCTATTAAATTACCCAATAAATTGTATTTTTTAATGTCTACCCCCACCCCTAAACCCAACCATCACAGCACTGTAAAAATATTAATAATTGTTATACAGTGTTGTAAAAAATGCTGCTAAAATTAATGTGCATATCGCACTTCCAGCCGGCCTCGTATCTGATCTAGACTTTACTAGACAGAAGCAGTCACCGTAGCTAAACGTATGCAATTTAGAACGAAAACGTATTAGTGTAAACCTCAGTCTCATCAATTATCATCAGCTTTATTGTCTGTCAAAAACAAGGGGGTGTTGCTCAAGGTGAGTGCAGTGCTATGCAAATGCTATGACTTTCTGGACTGATTGCCATAGCATTTATGCAATTGCAAATGTGTTGCTAGGTTGCTAAAGCAATGTCTGGGCATTCTGGATAACTCAAAGTGTACTATTGAAATCTGCATGACACTATGATCCCTCAGTCTAATCAATTATCATCAGTTTTATTGTCTGTAAAAAAAATCTGTCTAATTTACTTAAAGTAATAATACACACATGATTTTGAGGTATGTTACATGCTGAAGTTCAATACTCTGGGTTTGAGAGCTGTTTTGATCACTAACCCCCGGAGTATAAGCAATAGTAACAGAAATTTTAGCAGGCCCACTAATGAAAAGCAAAAGAATCAAACAGTGTTACGCAGGAAAGATTGGCTGTAGTAGCAGAAAGACAGACTGAATCAGACCCAACTCAATGAGACAGACATGAAGAGGAAAAGCTCTCTCTCTGTCTGCGCTCCGTCCCTCTTCACAGAACTCAAGAATCAGACTCGAACCGTCTGCGTGAAGGCTAGTCGGATTTGTCTGCGTCCTCGTCACGGTGGCCGTCGGCAGCGTCGCGGGAGCTCTTGTCCTCTTTGGCGAGGTGTGCGTGGGAGGCCAGGATGCTGGACAGCGACAGCAGGCCCGAGCTGGAGGTGACGGCGGGCAGGGTCGGTGGGGTCAAGCCAAGGGGCAGAGGGGTCATGGGTAAAGCCAAACCCTGGAGCTGAGAGAGCTGGTGAACCTGAAGCTGCTGCTGCGATTACATTAAACCACACACAAACACACAGCCGTCCAGGTTAAAGAGAGGTCGCAATGACTTGATGATGTACACACTATTGAAGTATACCAAGACAATATTAGATTTTACTGCACATTTACTGTTGTTAACTGCCTATTAACAGACTATTTGTAACAAATAATAACTTGACTTCCAGTTGATAATTTGGAAAAGTGTCAGAAGGTAGATTTTGTCTGATGAATCATCTGTTGAGCTGCATCCCAATCATCACAAACACTGCAGAAGACCTAAAGCAACCCGCATGGACCCAAGATTCTCACAGAAATCAGTCAAGTTTGGTGAAGGAAAAATCATGGTTTGGGGTTACATTCAGTATGGGGGCGTGCGAGAGATCTGCAGAGTGGATGGCAGCATCAACAGCCTGAGGTATCAAGACATTTGTGCTGCCCATTACATTATGAACCACATGAAAGAGCAAATTCTTCAGCAGGATAGCGCTCCTTCTCATACTTCAGCCATCCACAAAGTTCCTGTAAGCAAAGAAGGTCAAGGTGCTCCAGGATTGGCCAGCCCAGTCATCAGACATAAACATTATTGAGCATGTCTAGGGTAAGATGAAGGAGGGGGCATTGAAGATGACTCCAAAGAATTTAGATGTACTCTGGGGATCCTGCATGAACGCTTTCTTTGCCATTCCTGATGACTTTATTATCAAGTGATTTGAGTCATTGCAGAGATGTGTGGATGCAGTCCTCTAAACTCATGGGAGTCAGACACAATATTAATTAATTCTCCACTGCAGCATGACTATATATTCTATACTCTACATTAATTATTTTAAGTGACAAGACTTTTATCTAAGCTAAGTCAAATGAAAATTAAGGCATGATCATATTTTATTTTGGTAAAATAAGCATAATCTAGAGGCCTTCGCCTTCCATATAAGCCACTTACCAAATGATCAACTAGAAGTCAAGTTATTATTTGTTGTTCCTAAAACTTGGATAGGCGAAAAGACTTTTGTCAGGTAGTATGTATGTACAGTGCTCAGCATATATAAGTACACCCCTCACTCTCTTTTAAATTCATATTTTTAATAGGAAGCAATACAACATTATATTTGTGCATATGCATTAGATTAGTCAGTACTGAAGCCAAATCTGGAGCTCATCTAACAAAATAACCATCAATAAAGGTTGAAAAATTAGTAGCTCAAATGTATATGCTATAGAAAAATATTAAATACAAAAAAAAAAAGAAAAATCAAAAGAAGCAAAAAAATGTGATTTTTTTACATTTTGTAGAGTATTTTTTTTGCAATATTTTGCTTGAATTTAATTGTATTATCCCTCAATTTCTAAATGTTTGGCGACTAAAATATTATTTGAAGAAAATCACAGTTTAATAAATCTGTTTTGTTTAAATACACCAAAATACACTGCCTCTATTCACTGAGAAATAGATAAAAATATTCATTTTCAAATGGGCTGTACTCAATTATGCTGAGCACTGTATATATACACATAAAATGCACAATACTAATTAAATAAATCATAAATAAATCAATTTCTGAATAAATCAATAAGAATATAATTAAATAAATCCAAAGAAAAATCTTTAATTGAATATTTTACTTGTACTTTAATTCCGAATGCAAGGAGCAATAAAATACATTTATATTAGGCTTGGGCGGTAGTACAGAAATAAGGTATACCACGGGATCTAAAAACAGCAACGACATAAGCTTCAATAAGTATTCATACCATTATACCATCATAAAAAACAATGGACTTAAATAGGAGACAAGGATTAAATATTAAATCTAATTCATTTAATGCCTAAAAATGCGAATGCGTGGTTATAATCACAGTTTGGCAGTATTTCAGGTTTCGATCGAAACGAGAAGGAAGAGGCACTCAATACGGCAAGGCAATTTGCAAATTGTGCAACAAAGAGGCGACCGCGATAAACAGAAATATCTTAAACCTAAGGTTGCATATACGCTATTCAGTTTCTGAATGGTTTAGGCACAAGACAACAGTTTGGTGACACTCTCTAACGCCGTGTTCACACTAGACGTGGAAGGAGCGTCAAGCGCGAGTGATTTACGTGGTAAATCAATGCAAACGTGCGAATAGACATGCTGTGGTGCGATACACGCAAATGGTGTGGCGCGAATGATGCGAATTGTGCGGCGCGAAACGTACAAAAATTAAACGATATTTACCTGTTTGTGCATTTCGATGTTGAGTCCATACGGGCTTAATATGCATTTTGCGCAAATCGCTCGAGTTAAAAAATCTGAATTTGAGCGGACATTCGCGCCGCGTTAACCAATCAGGAGCTTGCTCTTGTGAAGGCGTGACTGTGACGTAGCACCTGTTGTTGGTGTCCCGAGGGAAATCCTCCAGCCGAATACGACAACAAGTCATCAAACTAAGCTGAGTTTTTAAACTCACAGAGCTGGATGTACCTCTGTAAGTATCTAGTGGACTCAGACACGGCCGTAAACGTATCGACGCTGTTTTTCAGCCTTCATAAAGCACATAAACACTGTTATTTTCTTCATAAAATCCATGTTAGCCATTTAGCAACGAAGCTAGAGTCACTGGGCAGACAGAGGCCCTGCCCATCACGCGAATCTGCGTCTGTTCTGAAGTGAATTTGACGCGCGAATGAAGCAGATTTGACTCACGAATGCATCAGGGTTGACGCGAGAAGCAAGTAAACTTGAATGTTTATGCGCGAATATCATGATTTATCCGTGCGTTCCACGTCAGGCGTGAACACAGCATAAACCCTTTTCATTACATTAATACCACATACCGAGGTAAAAAAATAGGGAGAAGGTTTGACGGTATCAAATTTTGGTTAACGCCCAAGTCTAATTTATATACAGACATACACATAAAAACAAAGTAAAAAGTTATTAAAACCAAAAAGGTTAAACACTGCATAAATATGTCAACTAACAAATAAATGTATAAAATAATAGCTAAAAATTCTATAATAATCTCTCACTCCTACACAATAACCATCATGGATAAATACTGTGCAGTTCCTACCCGGATAATGGAGTTCATCTCAGGAGGGGTGACCTGTTTGGCTCGTTCAATCGCCCCTAGAACCTGCTGCTGGTGCTGCAGACACACACACACACACACATATATAATCTCCTAAGGTAAAACGCAAAGCAAACAAAACCCCTTCAGTGCATTAAAGCAACCCACGACACAAACCAGCAGCCCATTTAAGTCAGTAATGAGGCTGAATCATTACAGAGTGTGTGTCATAAATAAATCAGCGCCTCTGACCTCTTGAGACAGGTACGGCAACACCTGAGCACAGATCCCGTTCAATCTCTTCACAATCTCCGCCTGCGGACAGAACACAAGCACATCCTCAAGGATTTACAGCCATTAATAAGTTGTCTGGGGGATGCGCTTACAGACTGCTGATGCTGCGCGAAAACACACCAGCAACAGTCAGTCATGATAATGTATGCTGAGAGCGTCTGAATCTGGGACGCTGCATATGCACAAACCATAAGCAGGCCTGCGCTGTAAAGGAAACACTGCAGACTTTGCACAACTGTCACTCTAACCGCCATACTGTTATTTATTTAAGAGTATCACAGGTATAATAAGAATAATGCATTCACTTTTATGCAAAATATGAGATGCAGAAAATATTTAGACGATATTTACCTGTTTGTGCATTTCGATGTTGAGTCCATACGACATCTCATAATACTACAGTTAGAGAAAACATGAAAGAAGATCATCAGCAGATATTTATATGTGCAGTTATATTAACACAATGTAATTAGTTGCTAATTTTAACAGCAATATCTTAATTCGGAATATGCATCGCATCTGGAAACACCATTTTAAGACAGTCACTTTCTCTTCTAACTCCCATTGCTAAGACTCCATCATTTATTCCGTCTACATTAGATGAGACTTTTACACAATGGAAGCCAATTGGTGCACATACTGTAGGAGATCTTTTCGCTGATGGAATCTAGCATCATTTAACCAATTACATCAGAAATTTCAATTCCCACAGAATTATTTTTTTAAGATTTTTACAGATTAGGAACTACACACATGCCTATACGTCTTCATTGATAGTACATCCCCTTCAATCATTGACAAATGCCTAGATTGGTGTGAAGGCAGTAAAAAAGCATTACCAATAATTTATGAACAACTACAATCTGTTACTTCCCCCTCCACAAAATGTTTTAAGGAAGAGTGGGAGAAAGAATTGGGAGTGGAAATTTCAGAGGAAATGTGGCAATGGGGTTTGGAGGATATTAATAAACACTTTATTAATTCTAAACATGGTCTTATTCAGTTTATTTATTTATTTATTTATTTTATGTTTATTGTGAACATTTAATTTTAAGTTGCTTTGGATAAAAGCGTCTGCTAAATGGCTAAATGTAAATGTAGTACAATCATACAGCATTTCAAGGTACATTGGTATCTCAATATGTGACCTTAAGTGGTATAAAGATTACGTACATTATTGTCAGGTGTACTTGTGTACTTACTACACAGTAGTACTCAAATTTTGTAAATTATAAAATGAAAAACAGTATAAAGAGAGAAGAAATAACAATAATAATAATAATAATAATAAGTTAATTAATTAAAATATAATAATTAAATAAATAAAAATTAAAGCATTATTTACATTCAGGGTAAGAACGCATGTCAAAATATAATTCCTTCCAGAATAATCTCAACTGACCATCTTCATTATACACATGGGGATATCATACATTACAATACGAGTATAACCATATACATGTACATAGTCTTATTCAGTTTAAAATAATTCATAGGTTATATTATTCAAAGAAAAAACTACATAGAATCTTCCAAAATATTTCACCTCTTTGAGACAAATGTAATTCATCAGATGCGGATCTATCTCAGTTTTATTTTATGTTTAAAGATACAGAATTATTGAAATGGAATTTTTGAAGTGCTTTCCCAGGTGTTGAAGTTGCAATTACAACCAGATCCAATGCTTGTAATTCTGGGTTTCTCTGAACAAACGCATTTGTTGTCAAATACACAACATAAAATGCTCTTATACTGCTTAACTACTGCTAAGAAGCTACTGCTGCTGTTTGGGAAAAAAAGGAATCCTCTACATGTAAAATGTGGCTTGGAGAAATCGCCTTTATGTTACATCTGAAGTGAATTAGATACTATTTGAAAAGAAAACTTGAACAATTTGACAAAACTTGGAATCCTTTTATCTGTTACCTTAAAAAAAAAAACCCTCATAATAATGCATCATTTCTGTAATGCTTTAACATGCTTTGTCATCATACTCTGTTGTTTAAACAGGTTTTTGTAACAAGTTTGCTTGTTATGTTGGTGGGTGTTTTTTATTTTTATTTTTATTTTTTTTTCCTTTTAATTTTTCTTATTTGCTGTGCCTGTGTATATGTGGACACAATATGTAAACAGAATTATTTTCTTCTTGAATCTGTGTCTTCAATAAAACTTATTTGATAAAAGGAAAATGTAATTAGTTGCAAATTAACTAGTTACTGTATTTTATGTATGCGATTACTTTTCATTTTTGGACAAGTTAATTAATTACTTATAACATGCCTGCCTTAAAGACTGAAAAGTCAGTGTCTGTTTCTCAATATGCGTTCTTCAGCGGTCTTGCGTCCTCGTGTTCTCGTGCAGCGTCATCATCAGCTGCCTAAGTTCAGTTCCAATACTCAAGACCGCAAGCACGGAGGACGCGTGAAACTTCCCGGATGTGATCTTGATATCGAGGACGCACTGATGCAGACTTGAGCACCGAACTCGCACTGGAAGTCCCAGAAGTCATAGCGACTGGAGGTGGGAAGCGCAGCATTTTATTCAGATTTATTATTAAATTTCAGAGATATCACTTTTTTACCTCAGGAGTTTCCCTAAATGACACCGTGAAAATAAACATTAACATGGACATCTTAATATAGGAATATTTTGAAGAATGTTGAAAACCTGTAACTATTCACTTCTATAGTGCTCTTGTTTTTCCTGCTATGGAAACCCATGGTTACAGGTTTTCAACATTTTTGTTTTTTAATATCTAAGGTTTTCAGCTTTCTTCAAAATCTCTTTTGGGTTTAACAGAAGAAATAAACTAATGTTTGGAATCACTTTGGGATCAGTAAATAGAAATTAAATGTTAATTTTTGGGTGAACTATCACTTTGAGAAACACTAAATTGACTCAGAAATTAATTCATAACAATATATGGTTGTTGAACACAAAAGGAGATCATTTGAAAAATGTTAGAAAACCTCTAACCATAGACTTCCATAGCAGCTAGAACATACTACCGAAATCAATGGTTACAGGTTTCCAATATTTTACAAAACAACTTCTTTTGCGTTCAACAGAAGAAACTCAAAGGTTTGGAACCTCTTGGGGATGAGCAAATAGTGAGTAAATGCTTTCAGAGAGTAGTATATAAAGAGTAGATATTTTTGGATGAACCATCCCTTAAAAAAACAATACATTGAGCCAGAAATTAAATAATAACAATATATAGTTGTTGAACACAAAAGAAGATATTTTGAAAAATGTTGAAAACCTGTAAGCATTCACTTCTATAATGTTTGTTTTTCCAACTATGGAAGTCAATGGTTAGAGGTTTTCAACATTTTTGTTTTTAATACCTAAGGTTTTCAGCTTTCTTCAAAATATTTTTTGGGTTTAACAGAAGAAATAAACTTGCATACGTTTAAAATCACTTTGGGATCAGTAAACAGTTAGTAAATGAAACTTTTTGGGTGAACTATCCCTCAAATAAACAATGAATTGAGTCAGAAATGAATTCATAACACTATATAATTGTTGAACACAAAAGAAGATATTTTGAAAAATGTTGAAAACCTGTAACCATTTTACCAATATATGTATATATAAAATATGTGTTTGCTTTTCCTACTATGGAAGTCAATGGTTACAGGTTTCCAACTTTTTTCTAAATATCTAAGGTTTCAGCTTTCTCCAAAATATCTTCTTTTGTGTTTAACAGAAGAATTAAACCCACATATGTTTGGAATCACTTTAGAATGAGTAAATAGTGAGTAAATGTTAACTTTTGGGTGAACTATCCCTTTAAGAAACAATGAATTGAGTCAGAAATTAATTCATAACAATATATGGTTGTTGAACACAAAAGAAGATATTTTGAAAGATGTTGAAAAGCTTTAACCTTTGACTTCCAAAGCAGGTAAAGCATACTACAGAAGTCAATGGTTACAGGTCTCCAATATTTTTCAAAACAATTTCTTTTGCATACAGCAGAAGAAACTCAAAGGTTTGGAACCACTTGGGGATGAGTAAATAGGGAGTAGTATATAGTGAGTAGATATTTTTGGGTGAACTATCCCTTTAAAAAACAATACACTTATTAAAATTAAAAAATACCAATATACGGTTGTTGAACACAAAAGAAGATATTTTGAAAAATGATGAAAAGCTTAACTTAGCTTTGACCTACATAATGTTTGTTTTTCTGACTATGTAGGTCAATGGTTACAGGTTTCCAACATTTTTCAAAACTTCTCCTTTTTGTGTTCAGAAGAAGAAAGAAACTCATAAAGGTTTGAAACAAGTAAAGAGTGAGTAAATAATGTAAACTATTTTTGTTTAATTAATATCTGTGGCTCTTAAAATACATTGAGGTCTTACCAAAGCAAAACACAGTTTGTGTGAGAAACAGAAAATTATTAAATAATTCAATTTGCTTCATAAAGCTGCTGCTGCTGCTTTGCATATTATGAATGCCAACTGATGACCATGGTTTCAGCAATATATTTGAATGCTCTAAAATAATGGAAGAAAAAGAGAATCACCCACATAGATCTCTTCAAGCGAGAGAGGTGGAGGAAAAGACATCAATTTAGCTTTTATCTATTAGCTCTCCTGAAAGCTCACACTGATTTAAGATCAGCGCCAGGAGCTTTGCTGTGGGCTCCAGCATCAGATATGGCTCTGATCTCTGCATTGCCGCTCGGACACATCTGTTTCACACACACATTCGCATCGATCCGACAGCAAGACGTCAATATGCTTGTGCACATTTACGAGCCATGATACAACTGATCAATGAGAGGCTTGTGTGCGAATTACTGCAGACGCCCACGGGGTTACAGACAGACCAAATAAATAAAAAAACATTGCAAAATGAAGAACAATTATTAATGTGACTCGGTCTTATGTTGGGTAAAGCTGGCAATAGCCAGATATACACTGAACAAGTCAATTTTATTATCTTTTCTGCCTAATTAAGTAAAATTGTGTTCCATGAGGATATTTTGTAAATGTCATACTGTTAATATATATGTTTTTGTTTTAATGCTGCGCACTTAATGTGGACAACTTTAAAGGTGTTTTACCCAATATTTGGATTTTTAAAGAAAAAAAATTCTGCCACTGGGATGCTTAAAGTTACATCACATTTATTGTAATTAAATCCTAATGCAACCATGGCAAACTATATAAACTGGAAAACATCTTTTGCTTTCAACAGAAGAAACTCAAAAGTTTGGAACCATTTGCGGACAAGTAAATAGTGAGCAATTTATGTTTTTAAGTGAACCATCCCTTTTAATAACAATGAATTGAGTCTGAAATTAATTTAAAACAATATATGGCCGGCCGTTGAACACAAAACAAGATACTTTAAAAAATGTTGGAAACCTGTAACCATTAATTCCATGGTAGGAAAAACAAACACTATGGAAGTCTATAGTCACAGGTTTTCTAAATTTTCAGCTTTCTTCAAAATATCTTCCTTTGCATTCAGTAGAAGGAACTCAAATGTTTGGAACCATTTTGGGATGATTAAATAGTGAGTAAATAACATTTTTGGGTGAACTATCCCTTTAGGAGACAATGAATTTAGTCAGAAATTAACTCATTACAATATATGATCGTTGAACACAAATGAAGATAATTCGAAAAATGCTGTAAACCTGTAATCATTGATTCCATAGTAGGAAAAGCAAACACTATGGAAGTCAATGGTTACAGGTTTTCAACATTTTTAAAAAATATTTAAGTTTTTAGCTTTCTTTAAATTTCTTCTTTTACATTCAATATAGGAAACTCAAAGGTTTGGAACCAATTGGGGACGAGTAAATAGTGAGTAAACTATATTTTTTAGTGAACCGTCACTTTTAGAAACAATGAATTGAGTCAGAAATCAATTTAAAACAATATATGGTCTTTGAACACAAAAGAAGATATTTAAAAAAAAAAATTGAAAACCTGTAACCATTGATTCCATAGTAGGAAAAACAAACACTATAGAAGTCAATGGTTACAGGTTTTCTAAATTTTTTTGCTTCCTTTGCATTAAACAGAAGGAACTCATAAAGGTTTGGAACCATTTTGGGACGATTAAATAGTGAGTAAATATTTTTTGGGGGTGAACTATCCCTTTAGGAGACAATGAATTTAGTCAGAATATATATACAATGTATGATCGTTGAACACAAAAGAAGATATTTTGAAAAATGCTGTAAACCTGTAACAATTGATTCCATAGTAGGCAAAACAAACACTATGAAAGTCGATTGTTACGGATTTTCAACATTTTATTTATTTTTTAATATCTAAGGTTTTTAGTATTCTCCAAAATATTTTCTTTTGTGTTCAACCAAAGAAACAAACTCAAATTTGTTTAGAATTACTTTGGGATCAGTAAATAAAAATGGGAGAACTATTACTTTAAAAAACAATGAATTGAGTCAAAAATTAGTTCATAACAATCTATGGTTGTTGAACACAAAATAAGATAATTTGAAAAATAAAACTAAAAGCTTATTTTTTGAGATATCAACTTCAAAATTGGAATGTAATTTGTGGATATATTTAGCTTGAATTGCGTAAATTTTAGGCAAAAACAGACTTTGTAAAATACATATTTTAAGATAATCGAATATACATTTATTGTTTTATTATTTTGATTAGCATCATTTTAGTAGTAGAATATGTGATTCTGTCAAGTCTGTGTTACATATTTAAACCATAATATTGGAGTCTAAACGCAATCAAGACAAACTATATATCATTTGAAAGCTTAAAATGTCTAGTTTCCATGAGGGATTTTCAATAATTATTACTGAGCAACAAACTCAGAGTTGTAAAACATTACTTTGCTACAGCAATCCATGTTAATGTTAACTTTTCTAGAGGCTAAATTCAAATCAAACCACCACTAAACTTCCAATCTTACTTAAAAATTTGATGTCTACATTACAAATATTGCCAAAATGATTAAAAAGTATGATTCATATTTCTCAAAACATACCAGGCGCCCTTATATTGTCACCATTGGATGGTGGACCACTCTGGTGGTCATGTTTAGTACTTTAAATCTTACGGAAAGCTCATTTTTTGATATATTAACTTTTTAATTTGAAATATAATTTATGCAAATATTTAGCTTTGACTTGTGCCAATTATAGGCAAAACAGCCTTTGTAAAAATATTTAAGGATGATCAGATAAACATTTATTGTTTTCATGAGCATAAAGGCAATCATTTGAGTTGAACATGTCAAAAAGTGGGATAGACGGTTAAGGGGTTAAAATCTCAGATTTCCAAAAAGTTGTTTCTGGGTCAAATATTATCCAACTCACAACCACTACATCAACAGAAAGCCTACTATTCTGATTTCAGATGATGCATCAATGTCAGTTAAAAAAAAACATCACAAATGTAAAAAAAAACAAGAACTGCTTATTTATACGAGAACAAAAGACAACAATTAAAATGCACGAGTAACCAAAATACCACAGAAAGAAATAGTCTGCTAAAAAATGGCCTAATCTGTAGCTCTAAAAACATCAAAGGAGCAGGTTTTACTCACCATTATGTAATGACGCTGCATTTCTGATTTCTCACTTGCCAGTTTATCACATTCCAACTTCAGGCTGAGAAAAACACAACATAACATGAAATATACCATTAACTTCTTTAATAAATGTGCTTTAGGGTGTGAAATAGCATGATGTACGCATTACTTTCATTAATTACATTAAAACCAATATCTTCATGTGTTACATTAACATTTTACATTCAATTGTGATACACAAACCCTACCATTTAAATATTTGGAGTCAAAAACACAAATGTTTCTGAAGTGTAATGTTTATAAGGGTATTTATTTGATTAAAAATATAATTCAAAAAAGATAAATAAAATTGCAGGTAAATTTACAAATAGATGACATTAAGTAACTGTTTACATAATAATATACACACACCGGCCACTTTATTAGATACAAGTGCTTGTTAACGCAAATTTCTAATCAGCCAATCACATGGCAGCAACTCAAAGCATTAAGGCATGTAGACATGGTCAAGACCATCTTCTGCAGTTCAAACCGAGCATCAGAATGGGGAAGAATGTTGATATAAGTGCCTTTGAACGTGGCATGGTTGTTGGTGCAAGACGGGTTGGTCTGAGTATTTCAGAAACTGCTGACCTACTGGGATTTTCATGCACAACCATCTCTAGTGTTTACAGAGAATGGTCTGAAAAAGAGAAAATATCCAGTGGCAGTTCTGCGGATGCAAATGCTTTGTTGATGCCAGAGGTCGGAGGAGAATGGCCAGACTGGTTCCAGCTGATAGAAAGGCATCAGTAACTCAAAAAACCACTCGCTACGACCGAGGTTTGCAGAAGAGCATCTCTGAACACACAACACATCCAACCTTAAGGTGGATGAGCAACAGTGCTAAGAACAGGAAACTGACGATACAGTTTGCACAGACGGAGGTTTTTTCTTGGCACACTTTGGGTCCATTAGTACCAATTGAGCCTCGGGTCAACGCCACAGCCTACCTGAGTATTGTTGCTAACTATGTCTATCCCTTTATGTCTACTACCAGAAGAACAATGGGGCATATCAAAGCGTGAATCAGGGAGAACATGCAAACTGTTATAAACTGTTATAAACATGGAGTTATATATAACTCCACACAGAAACGCCAACTGATTCAAGGATCGAACCAGCGACCCAGCGACCTTCTTGCTGTGAGGCGACAGCACTAATTACTGCGCCACTGCGTCGCCCCACTTAATGCATCTTATAATTTCTTAATATATCTTTAGATATCTTAAAAAAAGAATGCATCCTTGCTATATATATATATATATATATATATATATATATATATATATATATATATATATATATATATATATATATATAAATATATATAAATAACCAGCCAAACCTTTTAAAACAACATCATATAACCAAAAACAGACATTTTATTTTAATATTAATGCACTTTTGAGTTTAAATACATCTTGATAGGAGTATAAAGTCTTAAACATGGACAAAATACATCTCAGCATGTATGCGCATTTAAATTGCGCACTCTGCTGGGAAAACTGTTTGTGAATAACAAACTGAGTATAAAAAAAAATTACAAATGCAGTCTAAAATGAGAAAATCCCTCCCCCAACACCACCTGCCACCGACTAATAGCAAGCAGTAAATCATGCTTTATGACTGCGATGTAAACAAAAGCCTACCGACTGCTTAAAACAAATTACTTGTTTTTGAAACGCTCAACATCCAAACATTAACACAGAAAAGAGAATTGCATTTGTCAAACCGTTTTATGAGGTCTTTAATCACTACAGCAATAATGATAATAATAACATTACGCAATCTCAATTATGCAGTTCCACAGAATAATTACTCATTTATTAGCATAATCCAGTGTGTACTTGTGTAAATACTCAGACTCATGATGACGAGAGGGTGAAGTGGCAGTGAAAATGCAATAGTTTATCCAAGAGTAGTCCAAATGGTGGAATGAAAAGAAATTGCCATTGATTTTGTTCATGCACAATTGACTGGAGGGTGTGTGTTTTTTTATTGGTGGATCTCATGTGAGTGACAGGTTGACTCCGCCCTCATGTCAGAAAAACACCAATCAGATGTCATTGAAGAGGAAGGACAAGTTATTTTGACCATGTGCACACTGCATTTAAATTCAGACGTCTGTTTTTGTTGTACACAAACAGACCTTTGGATTAGCTGAAAAATAGAGGTAGTGGCAACCGCATTTACAGAAATTCCATGCAGTGTGTACAAAACTGAACGAGTCGTCAATAATATGTTTAAATGTTTATCAGAGTTGTCTTCAATATGCGAGGTTCAAACAAAAAAACAATTCACAGGGGAAACAGCACATCTTGACTCATTTGTGTTGCCAGATCTTAAAAAAAAAAAAAAAAAAACACAAATGTAATTACATTGTTCATCAAACATTCATTCGTTCATTTTCAATCAGCTTAGTCCCTTTATTCATCAGTGGAATGAACCACAGACTTATCCAGCATATGTTTTACACAGCGGATGGCCTTCCAGCTGCAACCCAGTACTGGGAAACATCCTTATACATTCACACACATATTCTACAGCCAATTCAGTTTCAATTCACCTATGGCGCATGCGTTTGGACTGTGGGGGAAATGGGAGCACTAGGAAGAAACCCACGCAAACATGGGGAGAACATGAAAACTCCACACAGAAATGCCAACTGGCCCAGCTGGGACTCGAACCAGCGACCTTCTTGCTGTGGGGCGACAGTCCTAACCACTAAGCCACCGTGTTGCCCCATTCCCCAAAGAATTTATGTTAAATAAATTACACAAATTAAATGAATAATAAATTACGCTACATACACAGTGCACTAAATTAGCTCCATGCCATTTAATACCCAACATTGTAACCATTGCCCAGCACTATATGATGTTTATTTTACCCTTAAGCGTCCCATGGGGTCAGGGTGACGGCGATGGATGTTTCCTATTTCATGTAACTGGACTTGATTTGGTTGTTCTAAAGGTGTGCAAAAAATACTCAATGTTTAGGTTTCTTGAAGTCACAATGACCACATTGAAAATAAATACGATATTTTAAGAATAATTTGTCCAAACAAAATAGTAAACCCAGTATAAATCTGGAACATTTTACATTTCTTTAAAGGCCTGGATCCAGAGCACAAAAGCACATTGTACAATTGTATCACCTTAAGGTGAGTGTGATTAGTTTCCTGGGCTGCTCTATGGTAATATACACTACCTGACAAAAGTCTTGTCGCCCATTTCATTTTTAGGAACAACAAATGAAATCTTGACTTCTGGTTGATCATTTGGCATTGGATGTGGCTTATAAGAAAGGTAAAGACCTCTAGATTTCGATTATTTTACCAAAATCAAATATGATCATGCCTTGATTTTTAATCATTTAATTAGGACGGTAAGGACCAACTTTGCTCAAAAGTTGGCAAAAGTCTTGTCACTTAAAAGAAATAATGTCCAGTATAGAATATAAAGTCATGCTGTAGTGGAAACAGAATGAATATTGTGTCTGACTCCCATGAGCTTGAAGGACTGCATCCATACATCTCTGCAATGACTCAAATCACTTATTATTACAGTCATCTGGAACGGCAAAGCGTTCCTGCAGGATTCCCAGAGTTCATCAAGATTCTTCAAATTCATCTTCAATGCCTCCTCTTTCATCTTACCCCAGACATGCTCAATAATGTTAACTGGTGACTGGGCTGGCCAATCCTGGAGCACCTTGACCTTCTTTGCTTTCAAGAACTTTGATATGTAAGCTGAAGTATGAGAAGGAGCGCTATCCTGTTGAAGAATCCTCCTGTGGTTTGTAATGTAATGGGCAGCACAAATGTCTTAAACCTCAGGCTGTTGATGTTGCCATCCACTCAGCAGATCTCTCGCACACCCCCATACTGAATGCAATCTCAAACCATGATATTTCCTTCAACAAACTTGACTGATTTCTGTGAGAATCTTGGGTCCATCCAGGTTCCAGTAGGTCTTCTGCAGTATTGTGATCATCAGAAAAATCTACCTTCTGACATTTATCCAAATGTTCAACTAGAAGTCAAGTTATTATTTGTTGCTCTTACAACTGGGATAAATGACAAGACTTTTGTCAGGTAGTGTCTGTATATATTGTTCTTCGCACCTTATTGGTTGACTGGCTAATTCAGATAGCTATTAGATTCAAGTGTTGAAGTTTTTTTTCAAGTGTTGCTTGTTTGACCTGATGATGACCATGTAGGTCAAAAAACTTTTTTAATTTCAATAAACTGTTTTATTTAAGAGAAGTGTGTTGATTTTTGTTTGTTTTTTGTTTAATTACTGCCATATCAGCAACTTATGGCTATTTTATGGCAACGTCAATATAGCTAAAATCATATTGCTTAATAATAACTTCAATAACATCAAATTTGAATAAGAATTGATGCAAAATACATAAATAAATATCAATTACATTAAAACATTAGATGTGATTTTTTTGATATTACATTTTTGATAAATAGCTTAAATCTATTCCTGAGGATACATTTTTAAAAACATCAAGACAGACCCGTTACATGTTGGTGGTGCATCATTCTTCAATAGTGACCAATTTCTCCTTTTCACACTGACATTACAGAAACAAGCTTCTCAAACATCCTAAAGTGGTGCAGTCTGATGGAAACATAAGATGTAAAGCACTTCAACACTATGGTTTGTTTATCCTTCTCCATTTCCCTCTTCCGTCATTTTGTGTCTTGTGTGATGTGTGATAGCCGGATGTGATCGCTCTTATCTCCGGTGCTGACAGATGATGACAGGAAGCTTTTCCAGGAGGAGAAACGTTCACACCATTTCACCGCCCCGCAGAGGAATTCGCATAGCCAGAGTGTTTTTAGGGTGTAGAGTGAAAGTGAGGAGGAGAGAAACCGCCTCAGAGGTGTGTTGATGGAGAAGTTGAAAGCTTAAGATTTTTGTGTCTTTGAATGGTTTTGATTGCACAGTCATTCAGTATCAAGGCTGTTTTATTCGATCAAAGGTAAAGTAAAAATACTGCTAAATGCTTCACAATTAAAATATATATATATTAATTTATATATGCTAATTTCGGTTTCATTCCAGACATGCACTTTAAGTAATGGACCAATCAAAACACATTGAACCACCTGACCTATTAGTGTCGTCACGATACTGGAGTTTTGGTACCATTCGGTAATGAAATTTGAAAAACGTCCATTATCCGCTACAGTCACTGAATTATTATGTTTGAGACGTGTGCTTGTCATTGACAACATTATTAGATCATTTTTTCTACTGCTAAAATAAAGCATTTGTCATTATCAGATTCCCTCTCGCATTATATTCAACATTATATAAGTTAGAGTAGTTATACATTTTCTCTCATGCACCACACTCTGTGTTCGCTATGAAGAAAAAACATATTAAATCCTTGTCGCAATCATTACTCTAAAATGTGATATCATCACTTAAATTTCATTTCATGTCATGACTGCCGTCACTCTGAGAAAAAAAAAACCTACATGCTAATCATACTTCTCATGTGGCTCCCAAACGATCCCTCTGTGCAACAAACTGAATGTTATTTACAACTTTATTACCTGTTATTCACAGCCTATGCAAGTTCTGTTCACTAAAGTAGACATGGAGGGCACCTGCGAATCCTCGCGGTAGTAAACAGCTCGTGGTCAGCTCATGCGTGCTTTTACGCCAGCCAATATGTCATTACATGAAGACAGAAATGACATTTTTGGCCGAGTTATACCTTGTAAATACAGTATATGCAGCCCTGCTATGAATTTGTACATACTACTCTGCTCGCATACTGTTATTAACGTAATATATAGTAGAGAAGTGTGCGATTTCAGACACAGCCAATGTGAAATGTTATTTTTGTGTTTTTGTTTAAGAATTTTGGCCGTTAGATTGTAATATATTACTTTTTAAAACTTTTTTCAACATGGAAAATGACATGGAAAACGTTTATCATTGGAGATTTTGACCTTGGATGCTGTTACGGCTCAGTATCTGTGTTTTTTTGTTTGTTTTCTCTCTCCCTCCTTCTCTACCTATCATTTTCTTTAGGTCCGCCCAGTTCATCTAGCTATTGGCTAAGCTAGATGCCAGTCATCATTACCATTTACGATGACATCATCAATGACCAATCACAAGCAGACTTCCACACTTAAAAAGGAAGCCGGTGCAGTCGAAAGCTAGCTTGCTTTTTGCTTGCTCACTGTTGTGTGTTTGCCATGTTGTTTGACTGTGTGTTTTGCTGGATGCTGGATTATGTGACAGTTTCTTGTGCTATGTGTGCTATAATCATTTGTGCTGAAATCGATCTTTAAAAGTGTTCTAATTGTGTTTTCTCTCTGATTACCAGATATACGACATCAATGGGATTCGAGGAACAGGGTAGATGTCACGAGACCTACATGTTGCTAAACATAGGAGATACCAATGTATTATACACACTAGTTTAGAAGTGTGCGCCACTAATTGTAAGTTTTGTTTACGTTTGTGTTTAGAAGTGTAGTTTAGATAGGGCGTGAAAACGCTGAAGACTTTTCTTTCTCTTTCTTTTATTAGGTAGTATAGAGATTGTGGGTTCTAGTTAGAGTTGTGTTTTGTTGTATTATTTTCTGTTCTTTAGCGCCACTTTTGTTCCTCCTCCCCTTTATTACAACCATTTATTTATTCTTGTTGTCTTTATTTTGTATATATTTTGTTTATCATTTAACCACTTTGTAAAATAAACACTTATTTTGGCATAATTTGGTGGTTTGTCTGCTCCACTGCCACCACCATTCATAAAAGGGTCATCCGTTTTAAATGTTGCGTTAACCCTAGCGTTTCCATCTTAAATAACCGTAAACTTAAACTTTATTGTCCGTTCTGCTTGACACAGAAAGGAAATTTTTCTTCAACACTGGATTTAGGACAACAATTACAAACATGCAACAACGACACAATAACACTTATCAACACAACAACATAAGTTAAAAGTTTAAAAACCAAATTAGCCCCATGCACAATACTGCAAATCATACTTGGTAACCACCTCATTCACTACAAACATTGATCCGGTTTAGAACAACTGCCATTGGGATAAATGACTTTTTATAGGCATTTCTTTGTGCTTTAGGAATTCTAAATCTGCGTCCTGATGGTAACAATTCAAATGCTGAGTGAAGGGGATGTGTATTATCTTTAAACACAGATGCACGATTTTTAACAGACGCACAATTTTATGAGACCTTTTAATTTCAGTCTAAAAAAAGTTGAAGTGTGTTTGCTATACCTGTGATATTGTGCCTGCAGGAACTGAAACTCATCCTTGATGCGATCACAAGAGTCTGACGTGGTGAATTTCAGCGGCTGTGTCGATTGAGACGAAGCCTAAGGGAAAGAGAAATAAAATAAAATTAGATAATGACCCCTGACATGTACTGATGAACAACCCTTCAACCTATAGAATTACTAAACAAATTATTTTACAATGCTAGCTATCAAGCTAATTTTAGTCTTAACTAATGCTGAAGTGCAACTAAAATGAAACAAAATAAAGGTTTTCTGAACTAGGACCACAGAAAACATGACAATTTCTGTGATCAGATCCAGTGCGTGGGCTTTCCTCTTAATAACATTTCATTAGTGCAAACAGTCTAGAACGATTCTTCTCAGTGATTGTATCTGGTGTCTGAGGTGAGTTTGTCGGGTCAGGCTGAAATTAAAGCTTTTTTACAAATAGACCAGAGGAGTCATTGGCTTTTGACCTCTGACCTGCTTCAGCAGGGGTCAATGAACTCTGACCTTTACGACCAGACAGACGAGAACACAAACCAGCACACATTAGAGCGAGAGAAGCAGGATATTATCTGTGCTCAACATGCTTTAGTGTCACACAGCTGTTTAAAATCTGTTAGACGGGTCTCTCTCTGTGTGTGTGTATCGGTGTGTGTGGCTAAACACAATTGCCCCCCTGAGGAACAATATATAGGCAGAACAAAACATCTCAGCAGGGAATATTTGCTTTAAACACACACACACACACGCACGCACGCACGCACGCACACACACACACACACATGCGCGCACACACACGCATACACACAAAAACAGAGTAACATACTTTACCTCAAAGTAACTTTAATTCATAGTAATTGCAATATTTTTATGACTATTACTTTAAGACTATACAATCTTCACATTGTCGGGGTAAAACATTATTGTGATTCAAATATTTTTATTTTAAAAAAAGGTGACAAAAACAACATTTAAAAATAGAAAGCATTAACTTTATTACGGAACAAGAAAGTTATATGCTTTCTATTTTTAGTAGTAATAAGATATATTATATAAATATATATATAAATAATAAAATATTTGTAATAATATTATTAGCTAGGGGTGTAATGTCATTACAAACCGAACCGAAAAATCGGGATACACCAACCACGATACGTATCGCAAAACTCTTGTGGCGTACCGCGGTACTCTCATGCCCCCTGCTGCCCATTGTTGAGGTTGACGTAACTTATTTCTAAATAATTGAACCAATTTAAACATCTTTATTTTATCACAATTGATTAAATTGTATTAGTAATGATGAGATTTTTAAAACGACATCTTTGGATAACTTTTATACTGTTGTCCTAAAAAAACAAACAAAAAATGTAAATAAAATAAATCTTACACACCTTAGGAACAGTATTACAGAAAATGTTGGCAGTTTCAAAACCTTGACTTTTCCAAGCCGCGGTATACCTTGAAAACAATTATCATCCTACTGCAGACCCACAGAGATGCGCTTTTTGCGACAAGATATGTCCGACTGTAGTTTCTGAATCTCTTAAAATGTCTAGAATTTGGTTTTTGCTTTCTAAAGTTGCCATTTTTGTGTAACCCCTATCCATTTGTATGCATTTTTGCAGCTAGCTGCACACACAGCCGCGAGAAAAACACTAAATGATTATTCATTTAATACACGACTCGGATAAACTTTACTATATTCTCAGAGAGAACAAACTGGCTGCAAAGTATTTGTACACTATTAGAAATGGATAATCAACTAATTTGCCTTATTTAAATAATCTACACCAGTGGTTCTCAAACTGTGGCACGTGTACCACTAGTGGTACGCGGAGGAATGAAATATGTCATGTACATGCTACACTCATTAAAAATTTCTCAAAAATTATGCATATAATATACTATTTATGAATATAGCCTATATTTCTGAGATAATCTGCCACCTTGTTTTAACTGTGCATAGTTGTAGCTGCTTTACTGGGCCTACTACGCTACTGTATTTCAATACTGCTCATTTTTGGTAGAACTGGGAGAGACAATTGTTTTCTGAGGTGGTACTTGATGAAAAAAGTTTGAGAACCACTGATCTACACTTTTTATTCTACTAAATATTATAATTTTTAGCAATAATGTCTATTTTTATTCCTTTCTGTTGTTTATTTCGTATTTGCTGTATTTTATTAAATTTATTAATGTTAATATCTCTGAAAAAAAATCTGTAATTTTACGGTTTATTTCCGGTTTATTTTCCTTAACGTAAAAATAAGAGCTGTTAAATGACAGAACCATTCTCTAAAATAAAAGACAATAAATGACAAAAAACTTATTAAATTGAAATTTCTGGTAAATTTCTGTAATTCAACCTCTGTTATTTTACAGTAAATTTCTGTAATTTAACGGCTGTTTTTTAATGGTTTATTTCCAAAATAACAGATTTTTTTATACAGTGTATCTTATATATATCTAAAATGCTTTGGCAATACTGTAAATGTCATGCCAATAAAGCAACTTTAGAGAGATATAGGCCCCGTTTACACTAGTGCGTTTTAGTTTTAAAATGGCGTTTTAGAATGAAAACGATCCGCGTCCACACTAGCGTTTCTAAACAGCGTTTTATGAACAGCTCACCATCCACACCAAAACAACTAAAAACTCACATCACGTGATTACACACACACTCTCTGGCATGCGCTACAGCATATCTACCCAGATGAGAGCTGTGCTCTTTGGACTGTTTATCAAGGATCTTCCGCTGGATCTAATCTCACCATATTTGTTAACTTGATATTTAATTCATCTTGTTGTCTATATCTAACAACATATTCCCCGACTTTGGTCTTTTGAATCTATTACTTGTTCTCAGGTAACGCGTTTTGCAAGGAGGCAGTGATGTTATAGGCTTCGTTTTGTTATTAATACACATACAGTGAAGATGACGCTCATGTATGCAGCACGACGCCTCAACATTTCTGCAGTCTGTTAAGGTGTTAAAATCAAAATGAAAATAGCAGTTCCTTATATCATGTTTTCAATTTATTGTTAAGATATAGTGAAACAACGTAGGCAGGATGATGTGAATAGGATGCGCTCCAACATTAGGCACATTCACATCAAGGCTGAAGACACATCTGTTTAGTTGTGCCTATACTGAACGAGCACTGTGCTACGTCCTACAGATCACATTATCATGTCTTTCTTTTCTTTTTTTATAATCTGTTTTAAACACATTTTAATCTGTTTTAAATCATTTTTAATAATTTTCATTTTCTTATACTTGTCTCTTTTATTCCTGTTTTTGTAAAGCACTTTGAATTCCCTTTGTGTATGAAATATTCTACATAAACTTGCTTCGCCTATTGTTATTATTATTTAAATGACATAATTCTTAAATTATAAATTATTTATTTTTTAAAACTACTATTATTAATACTGATGTCATACAAAAAAACTAAATCAGTTCATTGAATTCACCTAACTAAAGATGATATTATAGACTTGATGCGTTAAATTAGCATATATTTAAATAACCCTTTGTCATCAAATATAATCAGAACTCTCATTTTATTATACACAGTGAAAGGCTTAATATTTCTCATCTCCTCCTTCACATTCTCTCCACGCCTCTCAGTCTCCAGGGAGAGCAGAGACGTGTGTGTGTGTGTTTCAGTAAATCCCTCTAGTCTGTTCCCTCCATTAGAAATCAATTAGAGGAAGAGAAAGCACATGATCACCTGTGACCCTTGAACACATGAGGCCTTCACTGTGAGCAGCAGCATCACCCTCAGATTTAATGTGCTATGTTGACACACTAAAGCTCAGTCACAACACCTAAAGCAAAACACACACTGCAGGACAGAAGCTCTTTACTCTCGGACTATGTCTACAGGACAATAATGTAGTTGAAAACAAAGTTTGATATTATTTTGCATTGCAATCAGGGCTGCACAATATATATTGCTTTAGTATTGATATTGCAATGAGCAAATCTACAACAGTCACATAATTAAATAATTTGCTTGCGTTGTGGAAAAACGCAGTGCGTTTTAATAATTGAAATGTGAAGTGAGAAAATGCAGCCTTTTATTAATTTGTTTATTAATTTGTTTGCATTTTATTTATTTGTTTGCGTTGTGAGAAAATGCAGTGCGTTTTATTAATTTGTTAGCGTTGTGAGAAAATGCAGTGTGTTTTATTAATTTGTTAGCGTTTTGAGAAAATGCAGTGCGTTTTATTAATTTGTTCACGTTGTGAGAAAATGCAGTGCATTTTAATAATTTGTTTGTGTTGTGAGAAAATGCAGTGCGTTTTGTTCATTTGTTTGCATTGTGAGAAAATGCAGTGCGTTTTACTAATTTGTTAGCGTTGTGAGAAAATGCAGTGCGTTTTATTAATTTGTTTGCATTGTAAGAAAATGCAGTGTGTTTTGTTAATTTGTTTGCGTTGTGAGAAAATGCAGTGCGTTTTATTAATTTGTTTGGGTTGTGAGAAAATGCAGTGCTTTTTATTAATTTGTTTGCGTTGTGAGAAAATGCAGTGCGTTTTATTAATTTGTTTGCGTTGTGAGAAAATGCAGTGCATTTTACTAATTTGTTAGCGTTGTGAGAAAATGCAGTGCGTTTTATTAATTTGTTTGCGTTGTGAGAAAATGCATTGCGTTTTATTAATTTGTTTGCGTTGTGAGAAAATGCAGTGCGTTTTATTAATTTGTTTGCGTTGTGAGAAAATGCAGTGCGTTTTATTAATTTGTTAGCGTTGTGAGAAAATGCAGTGCGTTTTATTAATTTGTTAGCGTTGTGAGAAAATGCATTGCGTTTTATTAATTTGTTTGCGTTGTGAGAAAATGCAGTGCGTTTTATTAATTTGTTAGCGTTGTGAGAAAATGCAGTGCGTTTTATTAATTTGTTAGCGTTGTGAGAAAATGCATTGCGTTTTGTTCATTTGTTTGCATTGTGAGAAAATGCAATGCGTTTTAATTTGTTTGCGTTGTGAGAAAATGCAGTGCGTTTTATTAATTTGTTAGCGTTGTGAGAAAATGCAATGCGTTTTAATTTGTTTGCGTTGTAAGAAAATGCAGTGCGTTTTATTAA